AATAGACATTGGTACAAAATTAATTTAAAATATCGGTATAGTTGTGTCTTTGGATATGAAGATTTCCAATCGCTGTTCTTTTATTGCAGGCAAAGCATACTCTCTAACTTACTTTTAAAATCTTTTATTCGTAACAATTCTTAACTTTTTCGATCTTAAAATCTTGTACCTCAGTGTGGAATTCCTACCCTTTAAAAGATATAAAGGTGAGTTTCCACTCATCCGTTTTTTCACGGGAACGGTATAGGAAAGGGAAAAATAATCACATGAGCATGCGTAGTTTTCCTTCAGACATATTAAAACTTATACTACGCATGCCCTCGTGATTATATTTCCCGTTCCCGTAAAAAAAATGGATGAGTGGAAACTTCCCTTAAGTTGGATAGAAAGATTTAGAAATATTTCACTCGAGTTGTCTGTAAAAGATGTCATATTCCTTGTAAAGATTTTTCCTCAAGAATCAACACCTTCAATCTTGAATCTCTTGAGAGATTTTAATTTTATAATAATTAAATTTAACCAAATAATGAAATACAAAATTATGCACAATTTAGCTAACCTAACATAATCTTGTCGAACTACCTTTTTCTGTGTTTTTTACATTTGCACCTTTTCACTATTCTAGAAGATATCATACCCCAAATCTTATTCCACGAAACAAATGTAATAACGACACACGAAGATTTTTCTTCTTCAAAAATGTTTTTGTAATTCTCTGTCTGATAATTTTCGTCTTTGTTTAAATCGACTTTAAAAAAATACAATATTTATCACCACTATGCACTCTATTAATTTAAGAGTAAAAATATTTACAGTAATTTTGATATTACCAGTACCCAGTGGGCATGGACGTAAAAAAGACGTCTTTTAAATGTTTTATACACGTTTTGGACGTCTTTTGAACGTCTTTTGAACGTTTTGGACGTCTTTTGAACGTTCAAAAGACGTCTTTTTTTGGTCCGGTGCCCACTGGGTATTACCATTATGTAATTTTCTTTAAAATGCAAATAAATCATATAATAACAGTATGCATTTGCAATTAATTTGCGGTGCATGTAACCACAGATTAAAAATTTATATGAAAAAAAAATTATACAAAGCTGTCTCAGGCGCGGATTCAGACCATTTAGAATAGGGGGAGTAGGGGGTAATTTTCAGTTTTAATGATTTGGTGGATCCAGAACATCTATTAAGGTGGGGAAGAAACTTTAAGGCTTTTTTTATCCAGACCATTTAGTAAATATCTGCACTGGTACTATCTGCAGTTATAGGCAATAGGCTACTATCTGCAGTTATAGGCAATAGGTTGTTTCTCATTAAAACATGATATTACAGGAGAGCAAAACTAAAGTTTGTAAAAGAGATATTTTAGTCAAATTCGCTCAAAATTCGAGTCTAATTCATCAAAATAAAGGAATACGGCAATTTAGAGATGAATTCTTTTGCCACACCAAAGATTACACTATTTTGAGCATTTTACGGAACAAACTTCAAAAACGCAAACAATGCGAGATACAACTTATTGCCTTGTAATACTATCTACCGATATATTGGTATTCCAACAGCCTGATTTAATATTTGCACCACACAATTTTAACAAAATTTCATATCACTTTTAAAAAACCTCCCTAATTTACTTCCGCTTTCAAACAATATGCTGTGATTTTTAAAGAATTTTTTTTTCTAAATTAGTAAAATAAGGTATTTTTAAAAAATAAATAAAACGACGTGAGCAAATATAAGATTCACGAGTCATTAAACCTATGTTTAGTAGATTGTGGAATGTTTTCTTTAAACCACAATTAATTGGAAAGCATGTTATATTGTTTATTTTCAATTTTCCTAACTATGCTTAACTTATATTAAACTTGACTTAAAAGCACCCGAAGTGCAGCGGTTGAGGAAAGTGGCGTGCAATTCCTATCTTATAATAAAAAAATTATTCAAATGTAATATTAAAGCCAAACAGTTTACAAATTATATGATTAATTAAAAATTTTTTTTTTTTATTCCATCGAGTTTTTTTTCTTTCTAAAAAAATAATTATGGTGTAGACTCTCTTTTAAAATTGTTTGAAAAAGTTTTTTCCATGTCACCTTAAAGCCTTAAACCATTTTTCAACATTTCAACATTGAGAAAAAGTAAGATAAACTTTTTTTTTGTTGTTCGTACATAAAATACATAAAAATACTTTTACAATAAAGGTATGACTTTCTATAAATTAAATTTTATAAATTCTAAGCTTCATTAAATATAATAAAAAAGAAAAGTTCAATACATACATAATAAAAACTTTTATTGCACATAAAAATGAGATAAATTCTAAGTCTAGTTAAATACTGCCCTGCTAATCATAAACACCCAATGTGCAGAAAGGTAGATTTTGAGATAAACAATCATGTTTGCAGACGATACAAACTTATTCTTATCTCATACTAACATCACTACTCTGTTTCAACTTATGAATGTAGAATTAAACAAAATTTCTTACTGGTTTAAATTAAATAAATTATCGCTTAATATTCAAAAAACAAACTGGACTCTCTTTCACCCGCCCTCTAAGAAAAAACTAATGCCTTATGAAATGCCATCCCTTTTTATTGATAACATCGAAATAATTAGAGTAAATGTTACAAAATTCTTAGGTGTTTATATTGATGATAATCTTTCATGGAAAAATCATATTGAAAATTTATATAACAAAACTTCAAAAAGTTTAGGAATTTTATATAAAGCAAGAAACTTTTTAAATAAAAAAATTTTAACTCAATTATATTTCTCTTTTATTCATAGCCATATAAATTATGCAAACATTGCATGGGCTTGCACCAATTAAAGCAAACTTGAACCTCTTTATCGTCATCAGAAGCATGCAGCACGTTTGATACATTTTAGTGAACGTCTTACTCATGCAAAGCCTCTATTAAAAAAAAAATGAACGCCTTAAATGTATATCAACTCAATGTTTATAATACTCTTTGTTTTATGTTCAAATGTAAAACTAATTCTTCACCAGTTTCTTTCCATGATTTGTATACGTCAAAAGATAAAAATAAATACTTTTTACGCAATTACAATTTTATTGAGCAGCCATTTTTTCAAACTAACTTGAGCAAATTCTGCATTACTTCTCGCGGACCATTCTTATGGAACAAAATTGTCTTAAAAAACTTTTCTCAAGATTTTATCCAACAATGTAACTACAACTCTTTTAAACAAAAGTTAAAAGAATTAATTTTTACAATTGACGATCTATCAATTTACTTTTAATAATTTTTAATAGTTTTCCCATTTTACCTCCACTTATCAAAGAACTATTATTATTTTATAATTTATATATTTACCAAGAATATGTATCAATATATACGACAATTTATATGTTTATTAACTTATATAGTATTTGTATAACTGATCTTTATATTTATAACGGGTTTTCTGAATATTTTTAATTTGTTTGTGTCACGTTCATTTTAGCGGTTCTCGACGACAAGACCTTACGGTCTTCTACGAGTCCCCGCGTTCTTTTATTTCTTATTTACGATTTTTTTTTTTTGTTCTTTTCTTGTAACTTCTATATTTTATTTTTTAATTTGTATATTTATAACGGAAAGTTGTTAAAAATGTAATAAAGAACAAAAAAAAAATATTTACCAAAATTTATTTACCAAAAACTGTTTATTATTTAGTTTTTGCACTTTGGGTGTTCTTGATTGACAAGATAGAATAAAATTAAATGCAAATAATGAATCTGATATAAAAAATATATACTTATTTATTTTATACTTTTTGACAACCTTTCCAAAATATCCTAACGTATTTAGTTTTTATGTTGAAAGGCATTTAATAAAAGACAAAGAAATTACTCAAACTGCTAAAAATTATTACCATCAAATTTTATAGCCTTTTTTTTTTTAAACTTTTTAAATAAGTTTTATTCCTATTTTAATACCTTTATCAAGATTTTTTATTAATTTTGCATCTATTTATTGCTTTGACTTTGAGATAAACTGGCTAACAATAAATGCATGTTTGGCATGAAGCAGTTGCGTTAAACTGCACGCAGTTTATTTGAAAAATGAGTGATTTAATGAGGATTTTTTGATAAAGTAGTTATGTAATCTAAATTCAAATAGGGGTTTGTTGTCACACAGGAAGACTTTTTAAAAGAGTTTTACATAAAAAGTTATGTTTCCAGATTTTTATAGATTTTTTCTGAATGTATTCAAATAGATACTTTTTTTATGATAAGGTTTTCGCAGAAATAAAACAAGTAAAACGAGTGACAGCTAATTTCCTCTAGTTGACAGTGAGAAAAGCGTCATCGCGTCATTATTATCTCCGGAAGCACAAAGAAAAAGTTTAATTAGATTTTCGAATTTTACAATATTCATTATTAAAAAAGTTCTAATAAAGATTCTTAATTTAAAGAGTTTGGTTTCTCTATAGATATTTTATAACTGTTTTTAATTACGACTAATTTTTTATTTGAACTTTTGTAAATTTTCCAAGCTTTTTTCTTCGAAAAGTTTAATAAAATTACTATGATCTTTTATCGAATACCTTTTTTGTAATTAGAAAGAAAAATTAGAAAGGATCTTCAAAATTGCAAAATCTTTTGTATTAATTTACGTTATGTTCAAAGTTTAAAGGTGTGATTTGAATTGTTTTTTAATATCCAAAACAAATAAATCATACCGTTTGTTGAAGTGGTTGCTGAGTATTATTGCAAGCGCTTTCATTTTATGTTTTTTCAGACTTTTTATTTTGCTAAAAATTTTCAAAAATAAATTTTGAAATAACATGTCGATTAAGTTAGTTGTTATTAAAGTAGAAATTTGAAAAAAAAAAGGTGTATTTTGTTCTTTATTAGCGTTGTTTGATTTATCACTGTCGAATTGAGAATTTTATATTTAATTATTTATCACAGTTTAAAAGAAACTTTTAATTTAAAGTATCAATGTTTATTCTATTAATGAATCACAGAAAAAAAAAAAAAAAAAAAAAAGAGTACTGTCAATGTGTACTCATGCTTCATTTAGAATATAATAAATTAAATGAAATTTAAACAGTTGAACTTTTGGATGATTGGTTTTAGATAAGGTAAAATAATAATAATAATAATAATGATAATAATAGTAATAATAGTAATAGTAATAATAATAAGAATAAGAATATATATATACATATATATAAATATACATATATATATATATATATATATATATATATATATATATATATATATATATATATATATATATATATATATATATATATATATATATATATATATATATATATATATATATATATATATATATATATATATCACATCTACAATAGCGCAACGTAATATGATAAAGTTGGATAAATGATTACTCGTCATGCAATTGCATTAAAATAAAGCAATCAAAATTAAAACTAGTGTAAACAGTGGACAGAAAAAATTCGGGGTGTGGTATATGCATGTTTACACTTAGTAAAAAAAAGCATGTCTTTTATTTTTACTATTTAATTGACCGATCAATAAGAATACTGGTCTGTATTTAAGGCAATATGTATATCATACAGACAAAAAATACGCAGTGCAAGAGTTTTGTTATCTTTTATTATAACGTTTTTATGTTGTGTGAAACTGTGTAAAATTGTTAAGCAGAACCGGATTTAAAAAAACAACAAAAAAACAACATTTGAAAAATTGTTTTTAGTCTTTCATTTAATGTAATACATAACAAAACCAGCTCTTGAACTTTTTTATACAATATGGCAAAACTATCAAACAAAATGATTTTATTTATGGTAAATAAAGTAAATTTATGTTTAACTTGTGCGACTTATGATACAAACATTTAGCGCAAATTTGTTTCAAAATTGTTTTTTTTGTAATTATGCAATTATTTCTGAGTACTACAGGTCAGTAATAAAAAATATGAGTGTTTTTTCGTACAACTGTATATTAACTACGTATTTTATTTTGCACATACAAAAAGTAGCTACTAAGTAGCTACTAAGAATTAGGTTGCTACTAAAAAGGTTGCTACTAAAAAAGTTGCTACTAAAGTAGCTACTAAGAATTAGGTTGATTCATACTAATGTCTGTTAAGCCACTTCGAGTCTCAATGAGACGAATTATTTTCCTTGTGACACAACATAATCGTTTTTCAAAAAAAAAGCGTGTTAGTAAACAAGTTAAGGAAACGAAACAAGTTAAGGAAACGAATCAGCATATCAATTGAGTAATAATTAGTAATATCCAAGGTATTTAATAAAACTTAAAACTGTAAACCATTTCACATATGAATTAAATTTGTAGTGTGGATTTCGCTATACAAAAATAAAACAGGACTAAAGTTATATTTACGCTGTTGAACTGTGATAAGCGGATGAAGTCTAAATATCTAGCAGATGTGAAGTTATTTGTTAAACGCTGGTTTAAAACGGGTGCATATTTCTAGGATAAACATGAAATACAGGAGGGTATCGTTTGTAATCAGACAACATTTCTATTGTTAGTTTAAAACAAACCTCACTCTGAAATTCTTTCAAAATAATTTTTCACCGTGAAATTTTTGTTTTTTTTTAACTGGTTGCATTTACAGCTCTTTATTTTTAATGTTTCTCATTCTGATTGTTGTTGGGCAATATAAATGTCACTCTTAAGTATTTTATTTTTAATGTTGTTTATACTGATTGCTGTTAGACAATATAAATGCCACTTGAAAGCGTTTAGATTTTTAAAATACGTTTATTGTTCATACTATATATTTTTAAGTGTAACTAGAAAAATGTAAGTGCAACGTTCATGATATTTTGTTAAGTTTATTTTAAGATTTATAGATTTGAGTAAAAGTAAACAAAGGTGATAAATTTGAAGGAATCTAAGGTTATATAATAGTTTAACAATTTGAAGTAAACAAAGATGATGAATTTGAAGTAAACAAAGGTGATACAATCATTCAGATCAACAAAAAGATTTTGAATAAAATTAAATTTTTTTTTTTTTTTTGTTTACTGATTATACTTATAAAAACTTTAGCTTTTATAGTTTTAGCTTGTGATACAATGTTATTATAATAACGAACTTTTAAAAATTCATTAAAGATCTTAATAAATGTAGCAGAAATTCTTTTAATTTATTGTAACTTTTTCTTAAAAAAACAGACGGATTATAATTGTTTTGTTGTGGGCTATATTCTTAATACTGATAATATTTACTTGCACATTCTCTCATCATATCTCCAATAACTAAAGAAATTTTTAAACAGGTTATAATATCTTTTTTTCATTCTTTAATCTTCTTTTTTTTTCTCTTTTTTGCATTTAATAATTTATTTTGTTCAACCTTGACCCGGTTTAGAAAATTTATGCACATCCTATTGGAAAGGCAAACAATTTCTTTGTTATTGGGATTGTCTAGAAAAATGTCTGGTTATTTAAAATTTGTATTTTTGAAAATCTTTTCCTTCCTATTGAATAATATAATGAACTTATATATTACAATAATTTGATTTATTATATAGCTAAAAGTGTATTAGGTTTATTTTATTTATTTTTGCTTTTTTTATAGATACACAAATACAGTTATGATAAAAATTATTTGGGATTTTTGATACTCTCTTGAATTTTTCCTAAATATATCAAAATGTTTTACAATATATTATTATTCGTATAAATATTAGAATATTAAAAGAAATGAACTTTTTATATTTAATTTTAAAAAATTATATATTTATCAATGACAATAATAAATAAAACGATGGTTGTATTTTTTGACGCGTTTCAAAATGTAACAATTTTTTTTTAATATAACACTATAATAAAATGTTATTATTAAACAAAATTTTAAAGTTTTCATTTATAGATCATTTATTATTATATTTATTATTCAAGATTGTTTCAATTAAAAAAATGATATTACTAAAAAGCACAACACAAGACAAACTGAGTATGATGCATGTTCATCTTGACAATGAGAAGTTCTGTAGTGGTCACACGTCAATTCAGTACTCACCCAATATTGTCCGAAATGATATTTTTCACGGTATTTCTAAGGAAGCACAAAATGCAACTCAACAAAGTGTTTTGATGAAAAATCAAAGAACACACGCTATTAACGATATTCAATCACAAATGATTGCCTCAAAAATCCCACTTTGTCTTGTTCAAGATATTTACGGTAAATTACATCAGTTAGTATATATGATACCTCAAAACCTTTACGATCAGTTTTCTAGTAACGTTCAAACTGGAAAAAAAGTAACCTTACGGTCACACTATGAAACTCTGCAAAATCAAATAAACAATAAAATTAATACCAGTGAAAGCAAAGAAAGTTACTCTTGTTCGGTAAATATCAAAAATCAGTCAAGTCAACAACAATTTTTAACACCAGATCAAACTAATAAAGAAAATTATAGAGCGCAGCAACATGAAGCTCTAAATCATCAGCATCAAATTTTATTACAGCATCAAAATCATCAACAGCAAATGTTGCAGTATCAAATAATGCAACTTGAATATCAAAAGCAACAACACGAACTGCAAAATCGGCAGCAACATCAGCAACAAATTCAGCATCAACAACAATTGCATATGCCATATAGACAACAATCACCACAAAATCTTTTGTTATCGTTTGAGTCTCAAAGCACGGCTCACTCAAATACGCCATCTGTACAAAATAAAGTTAATCTACAAGAACTGCAAACTTCCCCGAATCAAAAAGTTCTAGAGCATCAAGATCAAGAGTTACATCTAGAGATACCGTTGCAACAAAAATGTTTAAAAGAAAATGTTAATTGTGATGTGAGTTGTAGTCCTAGTTGTAACACTCGTATTGAAGAAGTTGACTTTTTAGCAGAACTTCAAAATGGTTTAAAGAAAAAAACACCCGATAATAGTTACGAATTATTAGTAAACAAAAGTTCCGATAGAATACAATCAAACACGCTTGATAAATTAGATTTGAGTAAAACACCTAATAAATCTAACCCGATAAATTTTAACCAGGATAAACCGGATAACACAAACGAGCAATCTGTTTGTAACGTTGATTTGCAAATAGACAACAGTTTACGAAAAAGAAAAAGTTCAATCAGATCTGATTTTGAGAGTGAAATCAAGAAAAGTAATTCAATTATTAATAGCCCAAAAAGTGATTTTAACGAAATGTTTGTAAAAATATCTCCAACAAGTAATGAAACATCAATAGACAGTAGCGAGACATCAGAAACTGATGAAAGTCAAGATTTACTTTGGAATTTATTTATGGACGAAATTTCGTCAACATCAAATGACTCTGATATATTTATATCAGAAGACTTTGACTTTTTTGACAAACATAAAAGTTTAGATGAAAGTTTTAACATGAACTTAAAAGAATCAAAAGATTTCTCCAGCAGCTATAATAGCAGAGATGATTATAATAACCGTGATCACTTTGATCAGTTTGATTTGTTTCAGCATATACTAATGTAAAAACACACGGAGAAAATTTCCAAGCAAAATACTTAAATATTACAATCTGTTATAAATACTTTTTCTTGTGTTTGATTTATTTAAATTATTTGCATATTTCTTTTTAATTTCAGGATAACGTGATAATTTGTTAACTAATGTCGCTATTAATTTTTTTAATGTTTAACTTTCCTCCTTGATAAACATCGTTATCTTTGTATTAAAAACTTTTATGGCTGGTGTTGATTCAATTTTTCATTATAATATTTTAGCAGGCCGCCCAACCCAACCTAACACTTTTATGACAAAAATTACGACGATACCAAGACTAAAAACTTCTTAAGTTCTTAAGGTATTGGATTAACATTAAAACAAAAAACTTACTCAAAAAATTGTATAAAAATATTTGTCTAGATAATAAAATTTAAGAACTTGTTAAACAAACGGTTAATTTTTTATAATAATATATATATTTTTTTTGCCTTGTAAATATTACATTCTGTAAAATATTAATAGCATATATTAATATCAGGGGTAAGAAGAAGAATTATTATGTTTTATCGTCAAGCAACCAGATAAGATATATAGAATAAGAAGTCTCAAACAGTAAAAAACAAACCACAAAAGTTAAAAATGTAGATTTCAGATTGTAAGGTCAAAATAAACATTAAAATGTTTTTCATTTATGCTTACGAAAATATAAATTTGTTTAATAAAGAAAATTTCAAAAACAAAAAACAAAAAAAAACAAAAAAACGAAAAAAAACAACAAAACAACAAGAAAATCAAGAAAAAACAAAAAACAGACTTTTCATGTATGATTGAATAATCATAAGCTTATTTACAAATTTATTTTTATATACTAAATATTTATTTTAATATACTACAAATTTCTGATCATTCATTAGGAATCTCTTAATTTTTTTTAAGTTAAGTTTTTTAATTAAAGTTTTAATTCAATCATTGAGCCACATAAATTAAAGGACCATGGAGTGAACTTAGGCTATGAAGCTTTGATCTGAATAAAATTTAAACATTATTTTCAAGATAAAATTTTCAATTAAATGCTCTAGTAATTTTACTAGTAAGTATTGAATAAAAAAAAAAACGTTTAAAGTATAAAAGCATTTTATACTTTTAATAAAATATATTGTAATTAATATATTTTGTAGAGTGTAGAAGTTGATTACATGTCAGTAAAACAAACGGTAAAGCAAATTTTATTGAAAGCCTGAAGCTAGACAATCTATTAAAGATTGAAACAGCCTTGAGTTGTTTATTTAATTTATAACAAAATACTTATAGCCACAAAAAGGTACAAGAACTTTGTACCTTTACAAAGGTACCAATAAAAACTTTTTCTACCATTTTAAAATAAAGCTATAACAAATAAAAGCAAAATATAATAACAACAAAAAATAATAATAAAAAAAATAATAATTAAGTTTAAAAACTATATTATTATTATTGGTTGTATTATTTTTTCAATGTTAAGTATCAAAGCATAAGTTTGGGTTTGGATTGGATAAAAAATTTTAGCATAAGTTTTTTGGGTTTTGATTGGATAAAAATTGAAATTTTTATTCACAAACTGGACAACACATATGCGTAAAAACTTATTTTATAAATATTCATATTATCAAAAAAATATAGGAAAATAAAAAATAATTAATTAAAAGCTATGATAAACTTAAGCTAAATGCACTCTTTTGATAGAAAAATCATTGAAAATTTAACTCAACTAAATATAAGTAAAATATAAGAGAAATGGTGTATAACTAAACGGAAAACAAACCCAGAAAACGAAAAACAGAAAACGAACCCTAAACAGAAACAAGCTATAGTAATAAATACTACAACGGGCGCTGCTCTAAAGAGCTAGCGTCTCTTGTGCCATTTACTAAAATTCATTCTCATGTTACTCATCAATAAAGTCTCATCTTTTTACTGTGACTGTTCCTAAGTGCTTTAAAAATTCTTATTCGTTTAGTTTTACCCCTCGAATATCTGTATATCTTGGAATTCGTTCCCTTCATCTTCATCTTTCCTGATTCATATAATTTGCAATCTTTTAAGTTATTTCTTGATCGTTATCTTGCATTATAACTTTCATATTTTCTCTTCCTCTATCTTTCAATTCTAATAGTGGTTGCTATGGTTGCTTGCAGCGTTGTTAGAAGTGAAGTTCTTTAAAAAATAAAGTTTTTTTTTAAAGATTTTCACTTTAAACAACGCTTCTAACAAGGTTTAAATTCTGTATGCACCATTTTTGTAAATTAATGTGTAATTTGCAAAAAATGATGCAGACTCAGTACGAGGCTACTTGTATGCTTTTTTAAAACCCATTTCCTTTTTTCTTAATGTCTCAATAGCTGCTAACATCTAACTTCATTATATCACTTCAGTACTGACTTTCTTATATATTTCTACTTATTAAAAAAGCAAGAAGTATTGATAAAAAAAATTTTAAATTCAATCAAATGTCAATCAAACTATAATTAATATATAAAACTATAAACTGTCGTAGGATGTAGAGTACTTATAGTAAAAGGTGTTAATACTTTTTGTTACTAAGGGTAATACATCCTATGGTACTTTATGCACAGTTAAAAACTCTAAGTAGATTAAGAATTATAGCTTTTGTGACATCATACTTTATTTAACAAAAACGGTTGATTTGAAAATTTATGTTATGAGGTTTTGTAAGTAGATTACAGATTTTAAATCAATTGCAAATTTTGAAATTTATAATGCAATGCACAAAGAGGTTTTTCATTTAATGATACATTAATTAACTTTTTTTTTTTTAAACAACTTCACTTTTAACAAGGCTGGAAGTTATTGAAAGAGAAAAGGTGAAGTTTAAAGCAAAATAACGATTAACAGATGACTTAAAAGATTCCAAATTAAATGAGTCAGGAAAACAAGATGAAGGGAGCGAATTCCAAATAACTGATGTTAAAGAGAAAAATTAGATAAATAAGAACTTTTGGAACTTAGGCACAAGACGCGCTAACACTTGAGAGCAGCACCCGTTATAGTATTTATAGAATGGAGAAAAAGAAGCAACATTACGGTGAATTGACAATGGTTACAGGTTAAAATGTCACTTATAAATTAAAGACACAAAGTATGTAATGCTTTTACATTAAGTAAAAAATTACTTAACAACAAAAAGTGTTGCAAAAGTAATATTTTAACTAAAAGATATTTGTTGCTTTAAATTAAGATAAAAATAGCAAAGGAAGTGATTATATTTTTTACGCCTAAAAATAACAAAAACAACTTTTATTCGCTAACTATATATATGTTTTTTTAATAATTTTTATATATGTTTTTTTAATAATTTTTAATACACACCAAAATATAAGATAAAACATAATACAATAATTATATTAATCATCAATCAATCATTATATATTTCTGAAATATTTGGTTTTACATTTCAAGGTTGTTTACAAATAGTATTACTAATATTACGTAAACACCTAATGATAATGATTAAAATAGTAGTTCATAATAATAATAAAAATAATATTTATTATAATAATAATAAATGATAATAATAACAACATGTTATTTTAACAATAGTAATGATAATATAGTAATTTAAATAATTTAAATAAATCAGTATAATTTTCCATACAACAATTGTTTTTAGATACAAAGTTACAGTTACAAATAATAATTAACTGACAAAACGTAACAACTAACAATGACATAAAAACAACGACTGTTAAAAAATATTATAAAGAATTAGTAAATTATAATATAATAACCAAAATATTCTTATAATATAATAACCGAAATATATTGCAACAATATGACAAAGTAAATAAATAAAATATCAACAGAAAAACACTGAGAAAATCAAAACAAAGCAAAAGTTACAACAAAAATTACAAGCAAATTACGTTAATTACAAAAAATAACAAAAAAATTACGTTAAGTTCTTTTGGCAATGAAAACAATAAGCAACATCAACAACAACAAGAAAAGAACAACATAAATTAAAAATAATAAAGAAAGAAAAAAAGAGTAATAATAATACACGGTAGAATACAACATTTATAATAAATGCTTCAAACGAAAATAAAAACAAAAAATATATAACATTATAAAAAATTAGATATCACTATTTAAAAATAACTAAATAATTAAAAAATAAAACAATACATGACTAACAAAAAATAATAAGTAAATTTTTAGACGCTAAAAAACTAAAGAAAAATCATTACTACAATGCCGCTTAAATAAAAATAAATAAAGAATCCTAAATATTTATGAAAGAAAACTAAAGAAATATATGAAATAAAACAAAAGAATTATATGGAAAAATAAAAAAAATTTTATTTGCCGATTTTATTTTTATGTAAAAATTGTTTTTTTCTTTTATTCTTTTTACACATTTCATTCGTTAACTTTTTTCTTAACTTCTATTTTCTATACTTCTTTATTTATTTTCTTTCAGAAGTTTCTTTTTCTTTTCTGGTTTTAAAATATTGATTTATTCTTCTTTTTAGTTAATTTTATTATTCGTTTAGTTTATAAATGTTTTCTTTTCCTTTTTTTCTTTTTTCCTCTCTAAAAAAGTTGTTTTTATCCGTTTGAAAAAAGTGTCCGCCATTTGCGATGTCTTATTAGCCATGTTAATAATTAAAAAAGTAATATATATATATTCTCAAAAAAAGTCTTCTATACCTAGAATTTTCTTAAAAAAAAAAGTCCTTTGGTAAAAAAGTGGGGGAAGCACTTGCCCGCCTCCCCGTGTCGTCGGCCCTGCAAAATGTTTTCTACAAACTTGTTTTTGCATAAAGTCATGTATAATGAAGCATATCTGATGTATAATGAAGCATATCTGATATATAATGAAGCATATCTGATATATAATGAAGCATATCTGATGTATAATGAAGCATATCTGATATATAAAAATGAAGCATATCTGATATATAAAATTTTTTTTTGTTTGTTTCTTTGTTGCAGCAATTGAATACCAGATAAACCTTTGTAAACAATCAACAAATCATCAAAAAAAAAATCATCGCGCGTGGTTGCATCAACAAATCATCA